TAAATAAACCAATACTTTAACAATTATTTATTGAGCATAATAGCAAAACATTAAATCGCTAATATTAGTAAACCCCATATCTTTGGTTTTTCTCGACCTCATCTTTGTACATCATTTTCCTACTTCATTATAAGAGTTATGCTTTTAAAACATACAATAAATTACATGATTATTTAGTTACGTATATTATTATTTTTAAATATATTAATATATATTATATAATAATAATATGTATTAAAAAAAATTATTATGCCCTGTAAATATTTCATTTAAAGATTGGTGAAGTTCATACTTCATTCATAGTTCATTCCAAATTTGGATGATTTCATGTATCTAAAACTCTTAATCTGATTGATATTTTGCAGTAGAAAATATCTTAATACTGATTTTGATTCTGGCTGGTTCAAATAATTTCAATCTATCCTAGGACTTGTTGGTGGTCAAATTATTCAGTCTAACAGTGAATTTTTGTTTCCTGCAATATCTTACTTTATATTTTGATTTTCGGTTAGTTTTAATAATTGACCATGATAATTTTACCTATCATAAAATTATAAATATTTATTGGTACTTACTGTTTTACAAAATCATCATAGGAGTCATATTTTCATTTTTAAAGTCTGTCTTATAATAATATCTACATACCCTAATAAGGGCTCTTTAAAATGTTACTTTTCATAACACCATTTAACTTTAGTCTCTATTATAATATTTCCATATTATAAATTGTAATAGATGTAAATATTTGTTTTTGGCCATTTCATGAACAATATTATACCTTTTATTTTTTACAGGGTACAATTAGAAATAAAAAGTGAATACTAAAAATGGATATCTACAATACATGTCCATGTATGCGTCGTGAAAACCCTAAAGTAAATATTATAACTGTTTGTAAATTGTTTTAATAAATTCTGTTGACTTAACTCTGTCTTTGTTTTTCTAGGACCGTGTATGTTTTTCTAATGGTTGTGATAAACGTACTGTATTTACATTAAGTAAAATGGCATACTATGCTTGTATTGACATTCAAAAAAAAGAGTACAACAGAATTAGAAATGCACCAGAAGTCGACATACAGAACTGTTGTCGCAAAATATTAGATGCCATTAAAAGAAATATTGATTTGCCATATGATCCAAATCATACAGAATGTCTCTATGCATATCGTGAAAACTTTAAGGTAGCATGTTTTGAAGCTGCAAGAGTTGGGCATATGGACTGTTTAAGATTTGCCCATGAAAATGGATTTATATGGACCTCTAAAACATCCAAGATGGCTGCTAAAAATGGAAATCTTGACTGTTTAGAATATGCATACGAGCATGGATGTCCATATGGTGATACAATTTTAAAATACTCTGCCAAAGGTGGACACTTAGAGTGTATGAAGTACTTGTACAAAACTGGATGTAAATTGACCATTTTAGCATGCTCTGCTGCTGCAGAAGGTGGTTTTTTAAAATGTTTAAAGTTTGCTCATGAAATTGGATGTCCATGGGGAACAAAGACGTGCACTAAAGCTGCAGCTGGTGGCTACTTGGATTGCTTAAAATTTGCTCACAGAAATGGAAGTGTTTTAACCTCAAAAACATGTGCTGCGGCAGCAAGAGGTGGACATTTGAAATGTTTAAAATATGCACACCGAAATAGATGTAGTTGGGATGAAGAAACATCTAATAATGCTGCACTTGGTGGACATTTTAAGTGTCTAGTGTATGCACATAAACATGGATGTCTGCTGGGTCTAAATATTTTGGAAAAGGCTGCAATAGGTGGAAGCTTGGAATGTATGAAATACTTATATACATTAGGATGTCAGATAGGAAGATTAACATGTGCCACACCTGCAAAACATGGGA